TTTCAGTGAAACAGAACAATGACCATTTTTGTAGTGATTAAGAAAAATTACATCACTTATAACACAAAGTATGAATGCAGTATTCAAAGTATCCTCTTGGCAGCGAGGCATCAGCAGAACTCCAAGTTTTGCTGGCAAACCAAGAGTTAAAGAAACAATCTAAAAGCAAATGCAAAAACAATGAAAAGGGAAAGATAACAGAGCTGAATAACAGCTGTGCTTCAAAACATAACTTCTGTGTTTATATTTTAGCTCCCTTAGGCATTTTCTTATCCCTGTCTCTGAAGCAAAGAAACCCATCTCCTATCAAGCCTTTGGCTGCAGAGAACAAGGCTGCCTGGTCCACACATGTGGTATCTCTTCTCTGTGACGCCTGTTTTCTTAATTCTAGGCATAGCAACCAAACAAATACTGGGTTTCTGCTCAATATAAGAAGGTATTGAAATTCATACTGCATCCAACAATCTTAGAAAAATTCAATAATTTCAACAGTGGAATTTACATCTAAGAGAACAATGGGTCTTGCTCACTTCCAAATTTTACTGCCGCTCCATGGAAAATAAACTCAATTTTTACTGTTTATTTCAGCAGAAACAAATTAATGCTACCTGCTAGCAGTGGGAGAATTAGCAGTCCACTTGTTCATACTTGTTCATACCCACCGTCAGCAAAGTCAGGGAGTCCATTCTGGAGAAAGGGACAATGGTGCTAAATTCATTAGTTATCACCACAGTGCCCAAAAAGCTGAGGGACCTTCCACAGGATACTATCTGCTGATATACCTTTGCAGTTAATGAAGCCCTTAAATACAAATGCAAATCCTGCCTGCCTTGTTAAAAGTAAAAACTGCAACTCAGGGTGTACCTTCTGGGGACCTTTTTTCTTTTTTGGCTCCAATTCTACCTAAATTCTTTCCTAATCATCTCGTTTTCTAGGGCAATGAAGTCCAAGCTGAAGGACAGACTGCTGAGGCCAACAGAAGAATGCCCACCACTCTGTTTGCTGAGTTAAGCAGTCAGGATCCCAGACCCACTACAGCTCCCAAAAGAACCAGCTCCTCCTCCTTCTCTGCATGGGCTAAGACAGACACCTCAAACACCAAGGATTCCAGCCATCAGGTTGTTCAGCCTTAACAGTTTATGGTTTTTCTGGTCTATTCATAGAACATGTCCTGCCACACCCTTTCTACAAGTGTCAGCCCTCTCTGGAAAACAGCCCAGCCCATGGAGAAAACAGCCTTTGGGTCACCTGTTGGTAGCAAGCTACTTAGCTAAAAGAAGAGCTGCTCTTCTCATTAATCCTTCATGAGCCATTTAATGCAGACCTTAATCACCCTTCATAAGGTTCTGTAACTGCAGCTCCTCACAGAGGTTTGTTTTTTTCTTAATAAGACTGTAAATGTTGATTTGACAAAGAACTTTTAAACAGGTGCTTCAAACCAGTAGAAAAACTTTAGTTCCACTACAGAACTGGAGGTGGCTTTAAGGAAGCAGCAGCTTGACGAAATTTAACAGGCTTTTCTCTTTATTTGACTCCCACAAAAAAAAAAAGTCAAATTGTTTTAATGGAGTCCCATGGTCCAAGATATAATAATAAACAGAAAGGAATATTTCCATTGGCTGAATATTTCAAATTCTTCTTCAATAATTTTATTAATTTTCTGATGATACATCTTGACAAACTATAATCTCTCATTCATAATAGCAAAGTATGTCTTGCATAACAACATATGACATTTATAAACGTATTGCATAACAACATATGACATTTATAAATGCTTATGCTTAATTTCAGCTCGGACACAGAGGTTTGTCATAATGAATGAATGGATACTAACCTAAGAAATGAAATGCAGCAATCGAGTTTATAATTATCTTAGTAACTCTGGTGAACCCTAAGCCATTACAACATTAGGGCTTTTACAACCCTCCAATATTGACTGTGTGGTACACTAGAACCTGATAAATGATTGAGGAAAAAAAGTACTTTAAAATGTCATGCTCTTCTGGTGCCTGACAAACATTGTGAATGTCACCATTCACTTCTGCACTTACTGTCAGCAAGGTCTTCTGCAGTTTCCTAGGAACAGCATGTACATCATTAATGCTAGACAGGTCATCCAATTAATGATGACTAACCACTGCCATTTTCAGGTTGGGCTGTATTTGTACATTAAAGACAGTAATTTCTAAAATGTAAGGACAAAAAGCTTAACACCTTCTAATTATATATACTACGAGTTAAGGCAATGTCATGCCACTAGTCATGGTCTAACGTCAAACAGCCTTAAAATGTACAGTATTTCACTAATGGAAGTGCAAGCCACACGGAAGAAAACCAATTAACTACTGGGAAGTTTAAGTGCTTAATGAACTGTTTTGCAAATCAGCCTCAAATACCCTTAAAAATTGAGTCCTTCTGCTTTCCTGTATTTCTTATGGAAAAGCCAGCAAAGTTCTTGAAGTGTTTCTGATTACTTACAGTTGCTTGTCATCTTTAATCTGGCAATCAGTAAACTTGTCTTGTAGATAAATGGAATTAAAAAAAATCTCAGAATCCCTGCTGGCAAAAAATTCATTCATTAAATGTTACTGAAGACCTCCTTATGCTCCACATTTTTGTTACAAGTTTAAAAAAGACAGAAATTCTCTGGAGATAACTACATGAAGAACCAAAGATTATAAAATGGGTTTCTCCTT